ACACGATACGTCGGAACGGCTGGCGTACATGACTTGCCATTTTCCTGGCTATACTATTGGACAAAATTTCTTTGATAACGTCGAATGATTGGTTTAAAATTGTCAAGTTTAATTCTATTGGCTGCTACACTTTATACAAACTTCTAGTAATGTCGGAAAAATGATCATATTCAACCATACAGCTCTTCTAGCTGTCCTCCCAGGCTAAGTGCTACTGTAGGATACGGCAGTTGGATATATTATTAATCCATTAAGACTTGTGCCTCCACGTGTCAACCTCCATGTGTAGGACTCTTTCGTACGTTACTTCAAATGGTTCAACTAGTTTTGGATATGTCTTGCAAATGATAGGAGTCAGAATAACTGCAGAAATAGTTGTGCCACACGCCTCCTCAGACAAACACAAAGATTGAATGTGCTTCAAGTGTGCTTTGGTGGTTAACTTCAACATATCCGTCGAATGCAACACACAGATTGAGAATCTCACTCAAATTGGTCCACGAAATGTACATGTAGAGCAGTTTATAATTTATGCATATGATCCGAGAGCGATCATAAAGATTAATAGACCCCTGTCTCCTCTTGGCACAGCAATGAACCGCACGGATGTCCAACGAGTTAGGTTCATGCTCTTGTCCATTTTGGTGTCGTGGGTGAGAGCCGAATCAAGTAACTTACAGTCGTGCACGTAAATTGATTGAAAATACCAATGTACCGCAGTTGCAAAATGCATTGTCAATTGTGAACCCATTCGACAAATTAATCGCGTGGTTTGTCACAGGTATACTTCAACAACGCCTTAGCACCAGTAATAAGAGGATTTGCGTTGGAAAATATCCATCGGCTTAATTTGTATCGCGGCACCACGCCAATACAATACCCCTTGGCCGCACCGAGTTGATCACGTGCGAACAGTGCCGAACCTATTTGCCATTAGCGGCTGTTGCAACAATGCTTTGCTGTATGCAAGGAAAAGCTGATCAGAGAAGCGTCTCGGGGCTCAATTGGTGCGAACGGACACTCGAACGGACAAGACCAGCAGCCAGGTAGGATCGTTTTGCGTGAGACTCGTTCTAGTGTGTGAGGCTCTTGTGTCCGCTGGCTGTTGACTCCTTAAATCCGTGACGTCCGCCATCCTCATTCTCAAACTCGACAATTAGCCAGCAAGTCATCAACATCCACACAAGCTTGACCAGCATCAAACTCCTCATAAGCTATGAACCTTCCAGCTCTTCTCCTCGTCGCGGCTTCCATGGCTGCTCACTCCACCGCTGAGTTCACCGTCACCTCCGGCACCACCGAGGCCACCACCTCCAGCACGGAGCACGTGAGCTTCGTTAAGCAGTGGACGCTCAACTCTGCCACCAACGGCGACAACATCGACTCCATCGACCTGGATCTCGCCGGTCGCGTGTACGTGAGCTACGTCAGCGGCCTGCCGAGCGGCGTGCTCGGATACGTGAACGTGTCGGGCGACTCGCAGAC